GCAAAGCGTTCTAGAATTAAACACCAGCAACGAGACATGAGACCTTTCTCTTCTTCAGGTTCTTGATTATTTTCTTCGTTCATAAGTAGCTGACATGTGCGTTAACACCTTATCGCTCTTGCAAAATAATTTCAAAATAGCTTTCAAAGTCACTTGAACAGACAACGGATTTACATTTTTCTCTGAATTTTTTCTACACCACAGTTGTACGGCATTTAATAAAACACCGTAGTGCAAATTCTTGAGATATGACGGATAATCAAGGTATGGTTGCCGTAAATTTTTGGGAAATGTGATTCCAGTTGCTTCAATATTCTCGCGTTCTGATTGAGAAATGGATCCAAGGTAGACATTAACAAGCATTAATCTATCACTATCAGATTGATAATCAATATAACTGAATGGTTGATCCCATAATAGCGGAGCAACGATATTGCACCATTGTTTAGATACACACAGACAAGAATATAGAGATTGCAAGTTTACGCGTTGTCGTTCTTTGAGACCTAGGAATAATGGAATTTTCAAGTAATTTAATATTTCTATTAAAATTTCGGGAAGCAGTTTTGGCAATGATGACATTTGTAAAGGTGAATAAAAAATGTTCGATATGTAAGTAAATATTGTGGATATGCATGTATTTATTAGAGTAAATTAACACGTTATCTATATTGAATCACCATCGTTGTGTGAGGTTAGACCATATTTAGATATCGGCTATCAATATGTGCTGCGTATCATCATACCCGGTATCGGCATCGATATGGTTTCTTGAATTTTCACAAGCAGCAAAATGACGTATTAATGATGATATTAAGTTCAGCTTTAGTATATAAAAGCTCTTTTTTTCACATTGCTCAAAAGAATATTATGGCTCTTATCACCAGAAATTCACTCTTTTATAAATCCTTGTTTGTGCCTATTCATTACCGTCGAATTTCTCATATTGTTCAGCATGAAATACCGGTAATAATTTTATCATTAATTATTGTGTTAGATAATTTTAAGAGGCCCTTAACCTTAACACTGGATAAAGAATAATCAGGACTCATCCGAAAATTCCAGCAAGAATGGTGGTGACCTAAAACCGCCCCAAAAAAATGAACAAACAATTTCGTCGACGACAGATGAATTAGCACATATTCACACTTCATACGATCCAAAGATTGTTGATCCACTTCAAAATGGTGAAAAGCGTGATGATCGGGTGCGTGTGGTAAATACAATTAAAAAAAAATGATACCGATATTTCTAATTTTCACTATCAATTTTTTTTTTAGAATCCATTGGAATGGAGTGCTGCTAATCGATCAATTAGTAAACATACCGACAAAAGAGGAAATCAACCTGTATAGTTCTACATGTATTACATGTACAGTACTTGTACAATAAAAAATCATGTAACTGTAACGGTAATACATGTACTGCAAAAATCGGAAATTCATGATGCATGTTTTGTAGATCACGGCATACCAAACAAATTAGCGTGTTTAATTTTATTTATTCCTTTTTAAGTAATAAATAAATGTGATAACTTGTCCGTATTTAGACGCATTTCACAAAATGACTACGCTTTATCAATATTGAAAAAACCTATAGGTTTGTCTTGAGCAGATATGATGATTCGTGCGTGGACGCAAAGTTACATGACAATTGATTCATGGAGTCTCGAATTAAACAAATTATACAAATTAATTATTTAAAATACGTATATTAATGTTTCTGGTAGAAATGTACTGTATTATTGTATTGATGATAATTTAATATTTTTGTTTATATTAAAAAGATTCTTATCATTAGCATGGCTAGAATTTTTACTGAATGGTAATGTTGAAATAGTTAACCTGGTCGAGGTGGTCTTTGAGGTTACTGCTAATAAATTATCGTGGTGCACAATAACCATCGCTGGCGCAAGTTCGGTCTTTATCACAGCAAGTTCCATCTCCACAAAGTGTATCATCAGCAGTACAGCTACCGCTACATCTGTAAGGAGGACCACCTGGTAAGCAAGTTTCATCGACGGGACAACATCCATCGTTATTTGGACATGAGAAATATCCGGTTGGACAATCGCGATCGCGATCTAATAAAGATGATCTTTTGATGATTGTTCTGTCAACAGCAGCAGCCCGTCTAAGGATGGTTTCTCGTTTCCATTTTGGAAGGGCTATAGCAAAAGTGAAAATACTGAAGGTCACAATAGTGAAAACGAGTATCAAAGTAAGATTTTTCATGACGAATTCAAGTGTATATGAATAATGATGCTTTGTTGACGGATGTAGAAATTAGAGACGTATATATAAGTCAATCAAGCGGTGCAGGCAGTTGTTCAACTTTCCTAGTCAATAAATTTTTGAATGAGATTCACTTCGCATTTTTTTAGAATTCTTCAAACTGGTTATTTAAAAAGGAATTCTGTTATTTTGCAAAAGCTTCTTCGTGTTAAGGCTGTGTTCTGGTGAGTCGCATTTTAAAATTCTTCAAACTGGTTATTTTAAAAAGGATTTCTGCTATTTTTGTCAAAAGCTTTGTTAATTAAGGCTATGTTCTTGTTGACCTTTAGATTGGTGGGTTTGTCTTGTTAAAGTTAAGATTGTGAGTTTTTTGGTGTGTTTAGATTCAAAGCCTGCGTAACAAAGCATCTGGACTGCATTAAAATGCCAACAAAAAATATTTAACTACATCAAGCAAACAAATTGAAAAAAGTAAACAAGCATATCATGGCATGGCCATAATAAATTCTGACAAAGAATTTATCAAAAGAAAGTAAACACTATATTAGAGATATACCAAAAAATAAAAGTGAAAATGTATATAGATACAGGAAATGTAGTAAAAAGCCGCTAATATACATGTACATGTACTAATTTTGCTCTTTTAAAAAGCCACTTTTCATGTGATACAAACCGATAATCACATACATACAAAAGTACATGTACTCGTTTTTAAAGCCACTCTCGTGAATATAATTGGTTGATTGCATATTTAAAAACAAGGATTATACATGTAATTAAAGCCTTATCTCTATTAAAAGAATCAGTTACAATATGCTTTCAACTTCATGTGTGAATCTGGGATATATTTGTCATATTAAATTTATTTACATGTTCTAGAAGCGAAAATTGATGATTTAGTTTCAAATACAATATTTTATTGCATTTTAATGAAATGAATAGACGCATGACTCAAAAGTTGATCATTGCTATTGCTATCTTAACATTATTTTATAATTAAGAAAGCTATAAATATAGGAATCAACATCAGAAAACCAACAAACACTTGCAAAAAATTAATTACACGACAATTTCTTAATATACTAATACTTATTAACTACATGCATTATCGTTATGATTGACATCAAAGAACCTAAAATAGATTTAGAAGAAAATAATCAAGAACCTGAAGAAGAGAAAGGTCTCATGTCTCGTTGCTGGTGTTTAATTCTAGAACGCTTTGC